TTTTTTTAGTTTAGTTTAGGGGCTATAATATTACTCTTATTATTTTTTATATATTTAATTTTTATACTTAATGCTATATCTTAAAGGTATTTTAGAATAAGTTTTTAGAAGTTATTATATGACTTTTTAATTAATTTCTAAAGTTTATAAAGATAAAAATTTAGGAATATAGTATTCTTTTTTCTATCTAGTAGAGTAGATAAAAGGCTTAGGTCCTTAGTTCTAATTTTTATAAAACTAAATATAATAATATTTAAATAATAATATTTAGTAGACTTTAAAATATTATTAATATTTATCAGAACACTATAATCTATAAGCTAAATACCATAATATTAAAGTTTCGTTATTTTATTAAGAAAATTAGCTTAGAATAAATTAGCTTGGGAAAATTATATAAATTTAATAATTAAGAGAATCAACCTTATTAATATATTACTTAAATTTCTTCTTTTTAGTTTTTATATACTTATATATCTAGATTTTTAAAAAATAATATTTAATAAAATTATATAATATAAGTATACTAAAAATTTTAAAATTAGACTAAATATATTTATAAAAAATTTTAATTTATAGAAATTTTAAATATTTAAGAATATTATTCCTATATTAGAGCGTAGCTAATATAGTTTTACCCTATTTATTAAAAATTTAATTAAATTTTAGATTAAACTAAGAATTTTATAAATATTGGAATAAGATTATTATATATTACCTTTAAATAATATTTTATTTAATTCTTTTCTAAATAGTATTTATTAAATTATTTTATAGTTTTATTTAAGTAAGGGCCTATAATCTAGATAATAATCTTTAATACTTATAACTAATAAAGGTAATTATAAAATTAATTAATATAGTTAATTATTATAGAATACTTACTATACTTCCATTTAATAATTTTATATAGAACTTAGTCTAATTAGAAAAAAGTTAGTATAGCTTCTTAATCTAATAATTATAAGAATTATGGATAGTAATATCTACTATATCTTTTAGTTTCTTATCTTTACTTATCTAAACCTTCTACTCCTTGACTATATTTTATAGTTCATCTAAAAGCTACCTACTTAATATTTAGGCCTATTTCTTATAAATATCTTTAGTACTTTTAATTATATTTTTACTTCTATTAAATATTAGTTTTATCTTTTTAAATTTTATATTTTATTTACTAAGCTCCTTAATAAACTTTATTTTAATATAGTAAGACTATAATTAATCTTAATTGAAGATATTATTTAATATTATAATTTTCTTTATAATTTTAGTCTTCTATTAAAAGGTCTTAAGTTTTTTAGATATAGTCTAGAGGTAAATCTACTAATTATTAGTCTACTAGATAATATAGTTCAAGAGTTTATATAAAATTTATACTATATTCTTATTAAACTTTATTTATCTTTACTATATCATTAGTTTAAATTTTAATTCTTTTATTTATTAGATTAATCTTAGTTTTTACTATAGGAGATAACCAATTATATATATATAGATTAGAGACTAATATATTATAATATATTACTTATTAGAAAGGTTTCTTAGAAATTATAGATAGTAATATATATAAGATATATTTTAAATTTTAACCTCCTAAGTTAATTTAGGTAGATTCTAATTATTAAGATAATAAAGTAGAATAGTAAAAAGTTTATTGTAGAGAAGCTTATTAAAGCTCTTATCTTCTATTAAAAAGAAAAAAAGGATATAAAACTTTAGGCATTTTTAGAATAGGTATTTTCTAGAATATCTACTAATTCTATAAGATAATTTTTTCCAATATATTTATAATAGTTCTCTAAAAAGAGATACTAGTAAAATAATACGAAGCTCTAAAATTTATTAAATTAAAATTAATATTTATTAGAATTAATATTATTAAAATATTAGTAGTTTAGAATTTACTTTATTATATTATAAGTTAGTAATTACCTTAGTTAGACTAAAATTAAAGTTTATCTTATTATATATAGTCTTAATAAATATATAGAAGAATCTTACTAACTTTTTATATTATAATATTACTAAAAATCTTAAAGTATTCTTAGAAGAAATACTAAAGATAGGCTCTATCTAAGACTTAAATATCTTCTTACTACTAAGGATATTATTATATTTATAGAGAGGTATAGCTTATAGATTTTTATATACTAAAATAAAGAAGAAATTTTTATTATTTACTTTATTAAGTAATACTTAATTTAATTTCAATATATCTATATCTTTAGAATTAAGTAAGTTATTTTAGTATAGATTAATACTCTAGATATAATCTTAATAAATAGTTAGATCTAATATCTATGAAATTTAGATTTAACTTACCTTTTTATCTAGAGTTTTAATATTTATTCTATTACTTTATTTCTCTCCATCTATAGCTAGCGAGCTCTAAGTATTAAGGTTATAAAATGGAGTAATCTTCTAATATTATCTAATAGTAAATTTAATTAATTTAATATTTTTTAGCTATAAATTATTTAGTATCTAACTTAAAGTTATTAACTTATCTATACTTATTAGATTTTTAATCTTTTACTTAAATCTTTTAAATATAAAATTTTTCTACTATAAGTACTTAATTTTTACTTAGTTAGCTATAAAGTAAGTAAATATAGCCTATATTAAAAAATCTATATTTTTCTTACTAATAAAACTCTTTATATAGTATAGAGTTTTAAATAAATTAAAATTTAACTTAAATTTCTTTTATAATATAATGATATATATTTTATTTAATATTTAGTTAGCTTTAATTTACCATTTTATATTTAATTTTCTAATATTAACTATAAGAGTATTAATATAGGTATTTTTAATTTTTTTAATAATTATACTATAGCCTATATTAGTAGTTAATTCTTTTTTTAATTTAGCTTTTTTTATTAGAGATTTAGTATTTTTAAAATTCATAGTAAGTTACTAATTTATTATTATATATTATAAATTTTATAAATAATAAAATAAACTAGTATAAATAAGATATAAGTTTAATTATTCTAATTTTATTAGTATATTATTAATATTTTATAGAAGGACTTTATAAGTAAATAATTTCTAGAAAAAAATTCTTATAATAAATTAGCTTTACTAAATTTCTAATATAAAAAAAAGTTAATTTAATTTTAATAAAGAGAGGTACTTAGTAGCTTTATATATTTATAAGAATAATATATTACTAATATATTACTATTCTAATAACTAAAATTTATCATTATAATTTATAAGTATATATATTATCTATTATATATTTATTATATAAAAATAATAAAAGTATACTCCTATTATTTAGTTATTTACTAGAAGTTATAATAAATAAGGTATTAAATATATTAAATATCTTTTAATATTTTATAGTCTAAAAATAATTAAGTATATATTATTTTTAAATACTTTAGAAGCTATTATTATAATAATAATAAATAATTATTTAATAAGCTACTACTTTATTATATTTTTCATTTTTATAATCATTTAAATATTATTATATTTCTCTATAATAAAGCTTCGCTTAGAAGGTATCTATTATTAAATAATATATATTAAGCTAAATTAATAATATAAATATCTCTTTATATAAAAGTCTTAATAAATAATAATAATTATAAATATAATAAAGTTCAATATTATATATTATCCAGTTTTTATACTTAGTAATATAAATTTAGTAAGTACTTAGTAATATAAGTAAATCTTATATTTAAGAGAATTTATTACTTATTCTTTTTTAACCTAAATAAGATTCTTAATAGAGCCTATATAGATAAGTAGATAAAGTTTATATTACCTTTCGCTTGCCTACTATCTAGATAAGTTTACCTACGCCTATAATAAATAAACTTCTAATTCCCCAAGTTTGATCCAACCTATCCATTCTTATATCTAGTAGAAATTAAGTACTAAAAAAAGATTTAACTATTAAATATCTAATATTAACTATTAAATATCTAATAAAGAGCTTTCTTAAAATAAAAGAAGCTTATATATAAAGAAAAAAAAGAAGTATTTAGAGAAAATACTTCTTAAATTAATATTAATATAAAGAATTTATATCTATAAAATATTATATTAATAATAATATAATTATATATTAATATTCTTAAGATTTATATTATTAATATATAATACTTTATTATAGTAATTAAATAATTATAAAATATTTTTACTACTACTAACCATAAAGTATTAGTTTTATATCTATAATTATTAGATTTAATAAAATAAAATTTTAAATCTTTAATTATTTAATATCATAAATATTTTTATATATAATTAAGTATTTGCTACTAGATATTATTTATTAATTAGATAACTAATACTTAGTAGCAAGTATAGCTCGCCACTTAAACTTTCTTGTTTAAGCGTACACTTGGAGCAGCTAATAATAGTATTATGTGCGATAGATGCGGCATAAAAGCATAGAAATACTCTGTGGAGCACTGAATCTGGCCTAGGAGCCAAGGGAGCTCACCTGTGGACCAGCAGATCAACATTTGGCCTTGCTAATTAGTTATAGTTAGTTATTGGGCAGTGAGCATATTTGAGGGTGAAAACGATGCAAGTTTCCGTTCATTCCCATTTGAAACAGGTGCAGTTTTAGTTAACTACTCGCAGTCAGATCAAGATATATGTTTTCAATATAAACAATGAACACTATTTAACTTGTCTATCAAACATCTAACAACTTGGGGGACATCGTAAAAAAATCTTGAGAAATAAGCTCGCCTTGGCAAATCACTCTCTTGGGGCTTGGCAGGCGCTCGGACTGCGATAAAGCCCCTCCTCTGGGCTTGGCGTTAGACGCAGCTTCAACCTCGACACCATCAACAACAATCAACGTCAACGGCAATATCAACATCATTGATTACCCAGTACGTTCGTTTAAAATCCATGGTCATAACGTCGTTTCTGACACTTTAGCTCTTTTAGTTGATTCTGATGGGTCTTAGTTGGGGATGGACGCCATTCGGGATGCTTGGCTCAGCGTCACGCAACCCCACCAGAGCCAACTCGGGGTCAGCCAGGGCCTTGTACCCACCGCGGATGCACCATGCCTCGATCCCCTTCGCTCGGAAGATACTGCATGCCACTCGCGATGTGTTTCCGCTGTAACAGACTAGCAAAACACGAGTGTTATTCTCCTTCAGTCCTTTCAGCAAGGCGGACTTCTCCCCGCTCTGACTGAACCAACCCTCAATCTCCAGCCATTGAGCCTCTAGAACAGCGGAGTCAGCAAAGGGTGACGTGGTGCTCTTTTCAAGGGTATTAAGAGGAACATTTATGCCTTGGGGCAGATGCCACTGCTTGAAATCAGCTGGCTTTCGAAGGTCGATTACGCATCGTGAGTGGTCTGGTTTGAGCTTAAGGCCATCAAACCCTCTTGCCTTCCCAATACCAAACACAGGGCCACTGGCAGGGAACCTCTCATAAAATTCCGCAAGAATCTTTGCAAAATGACTCTCCCAGGCCTCATCATAGCGATAAAGGTCGACTTTGCGGAGATTCTATACCCCGTATGGTTAGCGTAATGCTGATTAACTTGGAGTGGCTTGAAAGGGAACTTGCCTCGTTCTTTATCGGGTGGAAATCCTCTGGCTTCAACTTATCAAAATACTCCTGTATGTACTGATACGGCAAATCGCAACAGAGAAACACGCAATGTATTTTTCCGTCTGGACCTGCAAGACTGCGTAATGTCCCTGCATCCTTGCGTTTTTGGAGCTGCTGGCAAAGACCCTGAAGGTTAAATCCTGTTGAGGGACCACACACTAGCCCGTGTCGACATAGCTTGAGGGATAATGAGAACGATTCCGGAGATCCGACTTCTTCGATGACATCCACTGCCGATTGCCATGGAAAGGGGATGGGAGACATAAGCGCGTACGACCTGGGTCCCGGCACACGATCGCCTGGTGCCGTGCAGACTCCCACCCTCAAAACGGATGGCTTAACCTTCTTGAAATATGTTCCCAGCCCAGTCATGGTACCGCTGGTCCCCATACCAGAACATAAAACGTTGATTTCTGGGAGCTGCTTGAAGATCTGGGGTCCCGTATACCGTACGTGGCCTCCCCAATTACCGTCATTGTCATATTGATTCGGATTGATAACTTGGTCAGACTCTAGGGCCATTGTCTGTGCAGCAAAGATACCACCACGATCATCCAGTGGTTCTGGTTGTGAGGGACCACCGAACAAAGTGATGTTGAGACCGAAGAACTGCATCAGCTTAATCTTCGCATCACTGGTTTTATTGCTCAAAAATGCTCTGACATCGTTGATGCCGTGAAACACATTCGCAATCATCGCCATGGAAATGATTGTTGAGCCAGAGCTGTACTCAATGACGGTCTTTGTCTTCCCTGGCACAACTTCTGCCTCAAGGAGATTAAGAGCTATAGAAACCACCGTCCTTAGCATCTGCATTATACCGTATGGACCACGGGTACTGGTGGCTTACCTGGAATTGCTTTCACATTGTTGGCAGGATGCATGGACATCATCTTTGCATATATGCGGACACCATCGTCATAAAACGGGTTTAATTCCTGTGGAATCTCGACCAGAGGCAATGGTGGCTGGCAGTCCGGGTCGAAGTACTTTTTCATCGAGTCCGGCCCAGAGTAAACATTGAGAGGGTTTATGTTCGCCATTTTTATATGGGCTTGAATCAACAATGCTCAGGAAGGTAGGACGGTGTCAAAGGGAAGGAATATGATCCTTGAAGCAAATCCCTCCGACGGATCTGATGAATTATATACTGCTTCATGGAGGCGACAACCATGAACGAATGGCATATACGAACTTTTCTTCCCAAATACCCTCAAGGTAGTTCTGAACTTTCACTTTATTATCTTCCCTGTGGAATGGCTTGGTGTTCCTTGCCTCTGGCAAATGCCAGTCAAGAGCGGACAGCTGATAGAACTCAAAGAACCTGCACTGCACTGTAACCTATCACATCCCAAGAAACGGTAATTGCCGTGATCAAGTCATATCCATGTGACGCAATGTTTGGGGTCGTTACTTTATCTCTTGAGGAGCACTATACCGTGAATGGGGACCTTTGGACTCACTCCAGAGCCAAGACATCACCCAAGAACTCGTCTCTATTTTCCTCCAGGGCGTCCAGCGGGCTACTATTATCGATCCAGCTTAGTTATCAGGTATTTGGCCCTCAAGGTCGTTTTTTTTTTTCTTGGTTGGTTTCTATAGTTATAAATAAAGGGCTGAGTGAGCTCCACTGCTTGTTTGCAATAGTCAGTCGACCAGGGTACTCGATAGTTAGTTAGTTACAGTTTGTTCCTGTGTTTCTCCGCTTGAACTAATTATATTTCTAGCCAGGAGGACTTCATTCCTGTAAAACGGGAGTTCTGGGAAAGAGGCAGCCTTCGCTCGTTCAAGCCGCCTCTGGTTCCATTCCCTAATATACGTGCAGAGAAAGAGTCATACAATTGCACGAAGTGCTGTCGAAACCATGGAGGAAAACAGTGAACAAGAATGCACACCGACCAAGGAAAAGCAAATGTACATATTCAACGAGCAGACAAATTACGTCTCGACTCGCAAGATTATAACGGTATGGTGGAGTGAACCTCCTGTGTGATTGAGGATAGATGCTGACCTCCTCTTAGATATTCCTAGCATGCGCCAGCGTCGACCTGGTTGCTCTGATGGACCAGACAACTCTGGCAGCTAGTTTGTCGATTATAGGAGATGATTTGAATGCTGGTATCCAGACAAGTTGGATAGCTGGTGGTTTTTTCCTGTAAGGAGTATAATATATATCCTACGTTGACTTCTCGGAATATATACAGTGGCTGATTTAGGTACAGGACCTCTACCTGCTTTCAGCTGGTATACGGACGCCTTTCCGACATTTGGTCTCGGAAAGTCGTATTGTACGTTGGGTTAGCGATCTTCTTCTTTGGATCCCTAGCTTCTTCCCTGGCTCAAACCGCTATTCAGTTGATTATCTTTCGCGCCTTCACTGGAATTGGTGGAGGCGGACTCGCCAACGTCGCCCAAATGATTGTCAGTGATGTGGTACCACTGAGAGAACGAGGCAAGTACCAGGGAATTCTGGGAGCAGTCGTCGCTTTAGCAAACGGCATCGGGCCTGTCATTGGAGGTGCCCTATCTTCAATGTCGCAGGATTCGTGGAGGTGGATTTTCCGCCTTAACCTTCCCCTTACAATAATCACAACCCTTTGCGTGTTATTCTTCATGCCTCTTCGGAAAGTTGACGGCGACTGGAAAACCAAGGTAAAAGCTATTGATTTCGTCGGGGTTTTCCTGGCCCTTTCTGGGGCTACCGTCTTCCTCCTTGGACTAATATGGGGAGGAGGTGAGTATGCATGGAATTCAGCCCATGTGATTTCTACGATCACTGTAGGTTTTGCTGTTTGTGTGTGCTTCGTTTTATGGCAGTGGAGGGGGGCAAACTATCCCCTTGTGCCAATGGATATCTTCCGTGTGAAGATAGTAAATGGTGCATGCCTGACTATGCTCATCAACGGATGGAATTTCGTTGTGCAAATTTATTATATCCCGACTTTCTATCAACTTGTGCACGGATACTCGGCTTCCAAATCAGGAGCTCTCCTGTTACCCATTATTCTGATCCAAAGTAAGCAGATAGCCTGCCATTGTGTTACGCGGTTGGTGGACTCCTGCTAATTCATTACACAGCATTGTTTAGCACTTTATCGGGCCTTGTTGTCCACCGTGTTGGCCGATATCGAGAATGCATCCTATTTGGATGGCTTGCCTGGACCATTGGACTGGGGCTATTTTCCACACTTGATACATCGTCAGGGATTGGTAAACAGGTTGGGTATGGCATACTCACTGGTGTGGGAGTTGGAAACACACTGCAACCGTTAGTCAACACTCTCAAGTTTTCGTATATCAGAGTAATCATGCTAACTTAGCTGTGAAAAATAGGTCTTTGGTTGCTATTCAAGCCGGTGTCCCCAGGAGGGATATGGCAGTTGTGACGTCGTTCCGCAAGTAAGTTTCTTCTCGCACTAACTAGTCTTCCGGCCTGTTGGAACTGACGAATGCCCGCCGTTTCAGTTTTGTGAGAAACCTCGGTGCTACGCTGGGCCTAGCAGTATCCGGAACAATTCTGTAAGTTCGTACCCTCTAAAAACTTTGCGAAACTCAGATGGTTAATAATGCAGGAATAACATCGTCTTATCCTCGCTCTCATCCCTTCTCCTCTCAGAGACCGAGACAAAAGAGATAACACAAAGCCCTAGCCACTACTTGGCAAAGCAGAGTCCAGAGGAAGTCGAGAGAATTCGTTCTGTCCTTATTCCAGCGTACCAGAAGGGGTTCCGGGTGATTTTCATACTGTGTTCGGCCCTTGCTGGGTTGGCCTTCATGCTTGCATTTTTCCTTATGCCTCATATCTCCCTGAAGAGAGATGATGACAAGAAGCTAAAGGAAGAAGCCAGGTCAAGGAAGAAGACCAATGATGCACCTGGTTGCGAAGAGTTACAGCAAAGATGAAGGTCAATCGGAAGCCAGAGACACAGACTCCTCCGGTAAACTCGATATTATGGGGCGATGCAACCGCACAGCCATGGAGACAAATTCAAGCCTAAAATTTAGAGCAATAGAAACCTAGTTAGTTAATTAAATGAAAGATTCTGGAATCTTTCATCGTTATCAAGTTAATTAATATTATTACTAGTTATTGTTATTAAATATAATCGACCAAGCTTCGTTGAAGTCAAATAACTATATTCACTGCCAAGACAAAAAGAGCGATCAGCACGTGACCGTTCCTGGCAACAAAAGTCAAATAACAGAAAAGAAAGACGACAACATCAGTTCAATCTTCCATCAAAACATCAGCTTCGACCCTGGGGTGTCTTGATCGTACGCCTGATGGACTGGGTATAGGGCACTAGGAATACGATTCATTGAAGCGCATTAATTGGAAGAGTGCGCTCGGCTTCGCCTGCTAACCGTTATGGTGGTTTGATAAGCTCTACCTACTATCCTCAATATGCAATGCTATACAGAGCTGCTGCTCCCATCAGGAGTAACACACGCTGCTTCTGCTCATTTTATATCAGCAAATTCCAATAATCTCATAGTAGCGAAGACCTCTTTGCTGCAGGTATTCTCATTGGTTAATGTTACCTATGGCTCAACAACAGGCACACAACCAGACCAGAAAGGTCGACATGACCGTTCACAACATGCAAAGTTGGTCTTAGCAGCAGAATATGAGGTACCGGGTACCATTACAGGCCTTCAGAGAGTCAGAATTTCGAACTCTAAAAGTGGCGGAGATGCAATCCTTGTCTCTAGCCGGGATGCGAAGCTCAGTTTGATAGAGTGGGATCCGGAGAAACATGGGATAAGTACTATCTCAATCCATTACTATGAAGGCGAGGAGAGCCATATGAGCCCGTGGGTACCTGATCTGGGGAGTTGTTCTTCCGGTTTAACGGTGGATCCTAATGGAAACTGTGCAATCTTTAATTTTGGAATCCACAGTTTAGCCATTTTACCCTTTCACCAAGCTGGGGATGATCTCGTCATGGATGATTATGATGCCACACCGAATGGTGATGATTCCACAGACATGGTTAGTGATGCCCAAAAATCGGCACCTGGAAACACATCACACGATAAGCCGTACGCACCTTCGTTTGTACTGCCTATGACGGCACTGGATCCAGCCTTAACTCATCCAATTCATATGGAGTTTTTGCATGAATACAGAGAGCCAACATTTGGAATTCTCTATTCTCAAGTTGCCAGATCGACTTCCTTAACTATCGACCGGAAGGACGTTGTATCATATTCCATCTTTACCCTGGATCTGCAGCAAAAGGCTTCTACCTCACTCCTCACTGTCTCCCGTTTGCCGAGTGACGTATTCAAAATTGTACCGCTTCCTCCTCCAGTTGGTGGAGCGTTGTTAATCGGAACCAATGAGCTCGTACACGTTGACCAAGCAGGTAAAACAAATGCTGTGGGGGTGAACGAGTTTGCCAGGCAGGCTTCCGCATTCTCAATGGCTGACCAGTCAGACCTTGAAATGAGACTTGAAGGCTGCATTGTTGAACAGCTAGGGAGTGGCACAGGAGATGTCCTACTGATTTTAGCAGATGGAAGGATGTCAATCTTGTCGTTCAAAGTGGACGGAAGGTCCGTTTCTGGAATCTCACTCCATTTTGTTGCAGAGCAGTCGGGTGGCTCGATAACGAAAGCAAGGCCCTCGTGTTCTGCTAGCCTTGGACGCAATAAACTGTTTTACGGAAGCGAAGAAGGAGACTCTGTTCTTCTCGGTTGGTCGAGACCTTCATCTACAACCAAGAGACCCTCTAAATCAGTCGATGGAGTGGATGAAAACGGAGCAGCCGATCTCTCTGACGAGGCGGACCAGGACGATGATGGTGACGATGACGACATGTATGAGGATGACCTTTATTCGGTCAACCCTGCCAGTACCCGTCAGGAAAAGCAAGTTGTCAATGGAGACAGTCCGGCCGATTTTACTTTTCGAGCGTATGACAGACTTTGGAGCCTTGGTCCGTATAGGGATATCACACTTGGAAAACCATCCAAATCAAAATCCAAGGATCAACAAGACAGTGTGCCTGAAATAGCTGCTCCGCTTGAATTAGTAGCAGCTCGAGGATTTGGAAAATCTGGCGGTCTCACCGTTCTCAAACGAGAGGTAGACCCATATACGATTGATTCCCTCAAGATGGACGATGTGTATGGAGTGTGGTCCATCCGCGTCGTAGATCCCAAATCCAAAGATACTGGGCTATCCAGGAGCTATGACAAATACTTACTTCTCGCAAAGTCTAAAGGTGAAGACAAGGAAGAGTCAGTCGTATACTCAGTTGGAAGCAGCGGCCTGGACTCAATAGATGCTCCAGAGTTTAATCCTAATGAAGATTGCACCATCGACATAGGGACACTCGCTACTGGCACCAGAGTTGTTCAGGTATTACGGACAGAAATCCGAAGTTATGACTACAGTGAGTCCATAAGCATAAATATGTACTTTTGTTTTCTAACAAAAGACTAATACCTGATATAAAATAGATCTTGGATTAGCCCAAATATACCCCGTCTGGGATGAGGATACAAGCGAAGAGCGTACTGTTATTCAGGCAAGCTTCGCAGAACCCTACCTGCTGACTATTCGTGACGACCACTCTCTCTTGATCCTACAGACGGATAAGAATGGGGATCTGGACGAGGTTGAAGTACAAGGCTCAGCAGCCTCCGGAAAGTGGATTTCCGGCTGTTTGTACGAAGATAAAATGAATATATTTTTCCCTGACTCTGACATTGAAAATGAGGCGGGCCTTAATATACTACTGTTCTTACTAGATGGTGATGGGAACCTTTCCGTAAGTCTCTTCTCCGTGAACGACGGCAGTAAGTTTTGCAAGCTAATTAGTGACTGTAGATATTCCGGCTCCCGAATACTTCGGAGCCATTATGCCGTGTCGATAACTTGAATCTTTTGCCAACAAATTTACCATATGAATCCTCTTCAAGACGACCTGTGAATCGAGAGACATTAACCGAACTCTTAATTGCAGACCTTGGAGATGCTATCCACAAATCTCCCTATATGATCGTATGTCCTAACTGGTCCAGCAATTTTTGTTACAAGTTCCTGTCTAACTTCTAATTAGTTACGTACAAAACACGATGATTTAGTTTTGTATGAACCATACCGCACCGCTGGTGAAAGCGGACAGTCCGGATTGCGCTTTCTTAAGGCGGTGAACCATGTTGTTATGGGCCCTCAAACAGACCAGGGTGTGAACCAGGATATCAACCGCAGTCCCTCATCATGCAAACTGCTTCGTGCACTACCCGACGTTTGTGGGTATAGAACAGTGTTTATGTCTGGGCATAGTCCATGCTTCATACTAAAGTCAGCCATCGCACGGCCACACGTTTTACGACTGCGTGGTAAAGCTGTTCAAAGCTTGAGCGGATTTCACATTGCTGCATGTGAACGTGGATTTGCATATGTTGATGAAGATGTATAACCCCTTTTGTCTCTATGACCTGCCAAATAAAACTGACAATACCCTTGACAGAATGTAATTCGAATGTCGAGGTTGCCTTCGAACACACGGTTCGATAGTGGTTGGGCAACGCGTAAGATCCCTCTTGGGGAACAAGTCGATAGTATCGTTTATTCGTCAGCATCTGAGTGTTATGTGATTGGCACTAGTGCAAAAGAAGACTTCAAACTTCCTGAAGACGATGAGTCGCATACTGAATGGAGAAACGAGTGTATGGAACCCCGTTTACTTTATTTACGATCTTGGATACTGACCATTCGTTATAGTTATTACATTCCTTCCACAGCTGGAGCGAGGGACTGTTAAGCTTTTGGAACCCAGAAACTGGTCTACCATTGATAGGTAAGTTGCTCAACCGCAAACTTACTCTTATGCGTCTTCGTCCATACTCACCTGCTCCCTCAATAGCCATGAACTCGAGCCTGCGGAGCGCATTACGTGTATCGAAGTTATTCGTCTTGAGATTTCTGAATTAACACATGAGAGGAAAGACATGGTCGTAGTAGGCTCGTCCATTGTCAAGGGAGAAGACATTGTCCCCAAAGGATTCATCCGCGTCTTCGAGGTGATTGATGTTGTTCCAGAGCCTGATCAGCCCGAGAAGAGCAAGAAGTTGAAGCTATTTGCGAAAGAAGAGGTGAAGGGTGCTGTCACGGCCTTATCAGGCATAGGTGGACAAGGTTTTTTGATAGTTGCACAGGGCCAAAAGTGCATGGTGCGCGGACTCAAGGAGGATGGAAGCCTTTTGCCTGTAGCCTTCAAGGATACCCAATGTTACGTTAACGTTCTCAAAGAGCTGAAAGGAACAGGGATGTGTATTATCGGTGACGCATTCAAGGGACTGTGGTTCATTGGGTACTCGGTAAGCATGTTCTTCCATAATATATCCCTGAAACGCACTTTATTATTTACTAAAGTCTCCCGCACCAACAGGAAGAGCCATACAAACTGGATCTTTTCGGTAAAGAGAATGAAAACTTGGCTGTCGTGGATGCGGACTTCCTTCCAGACGGGAATAAATTATACATCTTAGTTGCGGATGATGACTGCAACCTCCATGTTCTTCAGTACGACCCTGAAGGTGGGTAACTCCTAGTAAATCTTAAGCCTTTTGCAAAAAGAGCCTATCTGAAACTAATACTGTTATTCTATAGACCCAAGTTCTTCGAAGGGTGACCGCCTACTACATCGAAGCGTATTCCACACAGGTCATTTTGCATCCACGATGACTCTACTACCACATGGGGCCCGCACACCCTCCTCACCTGTCGATGAGGATGCCATGGACACAGATTCACCGCCACCATCAAAATACCAAATACTCATGACTTTCCAAACAGGGTCGGTCGCAGTAATCACTCCTCTCGGTGAAGATTCCTACCGTCGTCTGCTAGCCTTGCAGTCGCAGCTAGTTAACGCGCTGGAACACCCTTGTAGCTTGAATCCACGTGGTTACCGGGCTGTTGAGAGTGATGGTATGGGTGGACAGCGTGGCATGATTGACGGTAATCTGTTGCTAAGATGGCTTGATATGGGAGCCCAGAGGAAGGCAGAGATTGCAGGACGTGTTGGTGCAGATGTCGGTGCGATCCGGGTAGATCTTGAGAAACTCCATGGTGGTCTGGCGTATTTGTAATCGTTAGCGGGGTGTTCTCTTACTGAATTATATAACTAAGTAATGATTCTCCATTTTTTTTTGTTTTTGATTCGTCTGGAATGAAAGTCTAGCTATCGAATATTGCAGGAGAAGTGCGACTGTTATACATCTTATGGGGCGACGGCTCCATCGTGGTTAATAGTACATGAATCCAACCTCTATGGGAGAGAAACAAAGAGGAAATGCAAGTAGAGGATGCATGGAGAGGGTATAAAGTACAGAATTATGCAGATAATAAAAAAGCAGCATTGCATCACGATTCATTGGGCCTCAACTCTTTGACCTTGTTTTGTAAATCAGACAATATTTCTGCGCAGCTATCAGTATTTCCATTCCTTGTGTTTGGTATATTAAAAATATGGGATATAATACTTAGTTTTTCGGCCTGGGTCTCTTCTACCTCGAGCCTTAGCCAGCCATAATAAAGAATCTGATAGGTGAGGACTGCGCCAAGAAAGACTTTGAAGAATGGTTTTTTGAATGATGCCAGCGTCAAGGGAGGAGACTATCGAAGGGATTAACAGGCTGATCCATACGCTGAATTAAGTGGATAGCTGCTCTTCATACCTGCGACGCGCTCGATGAATGGGATGGGGATGTTGAAAATAGACGACGGTGGCTAAGAGCATTTCTTTGATTAAGATGAGAGTATATCCTCGAGATACTCTGCTTCGAGCTTTTTAGCCGAGACACCGGGTCCATATTTGAGGTTGTCTTGCCGTCCAGCGTTTATGTA